CCGGCTGCTACTCTAAAACTTCCACTGTATCTATCCTTGTATAAATAATATTTGTCTTAGATCTGTACTGTGACCCTCATCACCATTACATTCTAAAGGGAGGGAAATGAACAAATGTCTTGTAGCTGTCCATTTTTAGCATTTAAAACAATTCAGTCCAACATGTTGACTTTCTTACAGAAATAATTGTAGTGTCTCCAAAGGTGGTAAACACCACCAAACCAGGTAAGATCACGTCTCTTGATAAAACTGGGTTTGTGGTTTCCTATTAAACTGCCTTCGCTCTCACGTGAGACGGCATACTATTAAATGGTCTATATAGAGGTTTGGTGAAGGTGTCTTTTCTTTAAGTTACACTTAATAGACTCACGCATCTCTCTCCGATATGATGGTACTGGTTAAACTAAAGCTTTAAGTATGTATGGCTCCCTCAGAAGGAGGCAACAGGACTAATTTCAGGCACATTCACAGTTATGTAGATAAATATATTTGGCTATTGTTCTTGAGGACGTCAGTGTACTGTCAAAGATTTTAGATCTTCATTTCCAGCTACCTTGACTGTGTGATGTATAAATCAATACAACAGAGAAAATGTAAGGAAAGTTATTAATTTCTGTAAAATTTAATTTTTTTTGTAGCTGATCTAAGCAATGGTGCTGTAAAGAAGGAGGCTTCTACAAAAGAAGTAACAAGAATATGGGTAAATGATGTAAAAATGAGAAGTTATTCACCTACTATGGTGAGTAGTAAGAATGAATGGATATAGGTTCTTAAGTGAGTTTTACATATAAATGGCCCCAACTGTCTTTAGCTAGTTTCAGCAGTTGCTCATGGAAGCTTCCTAGGTTTCCATAACCACATAGCATATCTGATTCTGAAGGAAAATTTTCCCTGGCTGCAATAGTTGTGGAGTGGTTGGTCCAAGCAGACCAGACCACCATATCTCCAGAACAGTTTCCATATGAGCTAGGGTGGGAGTCATTTGAAGGTCAGGCATCTTTCACAAGAACCCATTGTGCATGCTGAAGGGTATCCTACCTGACCAAAGTTGATGTGCAGCTCCCTCGCTCTGCTGTTGGAAGCTTCCTCTGTATACATTTCCCTGTCATGCAACCAGATACACAACTCTCCACAGTTTGAGGTTGTTAATGTTTCTGTAGCAATTTGGACCAGCATTGGGTTGTATGACCATAATGTAAACTCAGTTTCTTCTCCCATTGATATGCTGGGTGTTTAGTGAATAATTAGTACTAATACTATTGAAATATGCACTTAAATCTTACTTCAACGAGAACTAGATTCAAATGAGTTTAGTGTGTGATCTCCAGTATGGTACCTGGAAGCTGTCTGGATCTTTAATATTAAAAGAGCTATCTGATGCTGAAGGGTTTTGTCTTCAGGCACGGAGGAAGTTTCTTTTCTGCTTAAAAAAAAAAAAGTACTTCAGGCATCTGTTCGTGTAGTAGCCTGGGCCACAGGATAATAATGGGCTAATGTCATCTCTTTGGGTGTTATATGGGATACCCCAGTGGTGGGTGCATTCCATATGCATACTTTCCAATACTTTGAAGTCATTTGAATCTTTAACCAATGGAAATCTGCAACAGATTTCACAGAAATATTTACTTGAAGGACTTTTCTTTTCTATTAGTTCTCATTACATTTGGATAATTGAAGTTCAATTAAAATTATGCCAACTGGTGCATAAAATCAACTTTAAAATTGCATATTTTGGACTAAAAGCTTTATAAAAGAGTTGGTCCACTGGCTTAGTTGGAGTGCTCACGCTGCTTTGCAGGTTTTATGTTTTTGGCTCACATTTCCTATGCTAGTATCATTTAACTCACTTTCCAGTGATATTTGCATCCAGTGGAATGCCACTGTCTGTGAAGGGAGTCCCTACAGAAGGAATATGGCTGAAGCCTTCTGAAATCTTGTAATGTTTCTTTTGCTCTCTGGTTCAGGTAGTGCACTGTTATGGAAACAATACTAATGTCAATGTCTGTATTCTAGCTTCCACGCCACATGCCTGTACACTTCTAGGATGTTGAGCATCAGCAATGTATCATTTGACTAATGCAGATATATTTTTATTGTAGAAAGTGCCAGTAATAAAAGAGGAAGAGGAACCTGAGGAGGAGGATGAAGAAGAAATGGGTCATGCAGAGACATATGCAGAGTATATGCCAATAAAATGTACGACTCTCGGTTTGCATCCAAAAACTGAAACTCTTTAAATGGTTTAGTGCCCAAATTCCTAACAGAATATGCAAAGATAGACTAGTAATGCTTTATAATGCATCAAAATCAAATAACTAAAAGGGGACCAGATTTTGCTCTTGTGGAGAAAATACCTTTCTCCTGCAACAGTCAACTTTTGAAAGACACACTCAAATCTTTGAACTTGGCCTTGGACAGGTCTGATACTATTTTTGATTTAACTTTCTATCAATAGTTCATGAACAATGGTAAGTTTTTAAAATAACATAATTGGTAAGCCAAAACTTTGGCTTGCCAATGGTCTTTAGAATTGTGTCCATCTATGCACATAATTTTAAAATAAACAGTTGTTCCTGACTGCTCAGGACTGAACTGTTGCCTTCGTATTAAGGGGCTTTGTCTTATTAGCCAAGTGAAGCATTTCAGTCACTTGCTTACTGGGCAGTCACTGTCCTAGGTCTAAGCACTGGCTGGGGAGGTGTTTACATGTATATAATTTAAGTGAATGGTCAAATTTGGCCCTAAATTTTATTTTTTGAGCAGCTTTTATAGAACCAAAGATTACTAGAAATAGTTCCACAGTTTTTCTCTTATTTCGGAAATAAATGGTCTTTAAAGCAAATGAACTTTATCCTGCAGATGGATACTTAAACTTTGCAGCGCTAAGAATATGGAAGTAACTGACTTAATTGATTTGTTTCTCTGTCCAATCTGACATGTAAATAGAACAGGGGTAGGAAACCTGTGGCATGCGTGCCAAAGGCGGCACGCGAGTTGATTTTCAGTGGCACTCTCACTGCCTGGGTCCTGGCCACCAGTCCGGGGGGCTCTGCATTTTAATATAATTTTTAATGAAGCTTCTTAAACATTTTAAAAACCTTTATTTACTTTACATGCAAAAATAGTTTAGTTATATGTTATAGACTTATAGAAAGAGACCTTCTAAAAATGTTAAAATGTATTACTGGCACGCGAAACCTTAAATTAGAATGAATAAATGAAGACTCGGCACACCACGTCTGAAAGGTTGCCGACCCCTGAAATAGAACCTAAATAAAGACAAGTAGATTAAATTGCTAAAAATTTTAACTTTTAATAGCCTATAGTGTTCCTAACATAGGTTTTAAAAAAAATTACAGCATTATTTTAAGCAGTGTTTGAATCCCCTGGTTCATACTGTGTGAAAATATTGTTCTATTGAAGGCAATCCCCCACTAAAATGTTCATATTTTTAAGGGCAAAAGTTACCAATAAGATCATCTCTGTAGAACTCCAGGAAATAGGATTTCACCCCATGTTGTAACTTTAAATTAATAGTTCTTTTGCATATGGGTCCAAAAAATGTTTTGCTTTCCACTGTCTTTTCATCCTGGTTGCCTTTATTTTTCCACAGCAGGATGTGGCACCAATTTCCTCCCTGAATCTTACAAAAAAGTAAACCTTATCCTTTTCAGTGGCACTATAGTAGCCCACTTCTCCTAAGTCATCTCCTTTTATTTTTGCTTTCACTGCTGCTTTCAGTTGAAGAGTTCACTCATTGGAATAAAAAGATTTAAGAGCTACCCCCATTATGCTCAGTGTGTTGGAAAGACATATGACACTTTCTGGGCAGTTAATGTAAAATTGCACTCCTAAGTGTATTATCTTACTGAAACGTATGTAACAGATTCTGTGGGAACCCAAGGAATGTAAGATTGTAAATCTTAATCTATCTCATTACAGCTCAACATGAGTGAAAAACAGGAGTTTAGTTTAAGCAATTCAACGTGTCACAGAACAGAAACTAGTTTTCAAATGCCCTTAAGCTCCCATATTGATGACATTGCTGTAGTCTCATCTGCTATTTGTAACCCAATGATACAATAACATTAAGTCTATTTAAGTGACCTGCAAAGCTTTTGGGATTTTTTTCTAACAGCCCTCATATGACTGCGTATGTTTAAGTTCTCATAACATTTTAAAAATTCTTTTTCTGTCTTGTATTCCTTGGAGTGTGTGTCTTGGAAGTGCCTTTTCTCTCAGTTCATGTAACTTCATTTTTTGAGGATTAGTAACATCACAAACCCAGTGGAAATGTGTGCTAATCACTGACTAATCTGAGCTGCTCCTAGTCAGACTCTTTTCTTCCCACACTCTGTGCTATGGTATTGCTAGATTGCGTACATGGTCAGATAATGTGTAAATAAAGAGTGATTGAGGAAAGCTATTTATATGTTCTTGATAGGAAAATGGCAGTGATCTCATCAGAGAGCAGAGCTTAAGTCCTTCAGGGGACTTTTCTGTGAGGGAAGGCAGAACTCAGAGCCAGTAGCTTTAACTTAAAAGGGAGATTTTGACAAAGCAGAAGTGGATCTTCATGGACCACGAGTCTTGCAAACTGAAAGTGAACAAACTCAAAAGCTTTGAAGGTCACCTTTAAGCTACTTTCATTATATGAAATCCTGGATTAATGCACTTTTTCTTAAAGGAACACCATTTCATATATTAAGAGGAGGAGCTGGATTCAAAAGAGCATAGGAATTTAGAGTTGTCCTGCATTTAACCTTAATCATGAACCAAAAACATCTAGTCTTGGAAGTTGTTTGGGGATTTATCCACTTCTGAAATAACTAATGTAACAATAATGAAACTGTTCTGAATTATGTTTAGAACTACTGTTTTTTCCCAAACTAGTAAAAATTGGTCTACGTCATCCTGATCCAGTAGTAGAAACAAGTTCGTTATCCAGTGTAACCCCTCCTGAAGTATGGTATCAGACATCAATATCTGAAGAAAGTATTGATAATGGTTGGCTGTCGGCATTGCAACTTGAAGCAATTACTTATGCAGCCCAGGTATGTTGCACTACAGTATTTGTTAAAAACTTTATTTTTAGAATACAAAGGTCCATTGAAGGACTAAACTTTGCCTTTCAGGATCAGCTTGTGAAAGGGTGGGAGGGGGATAGTGTGGACTGTTCTGTCCCTGCCGGAATCTATAAATGATCCATTTTTGAAAACTTAAAACATGTTTTCTTTCACAGCAACATGAAACATTCCTGCCTAATGGGGACAGAGCTGGATTCTTGATAGGTGATGGTGCTGGTGTAGGAAAAGGAAGGACCATAGCTGGAATAATCTATGAAAATTACCTGTTGAGTAGAAAAAGAGCTATATGGTAGGTTAACTATTTGTGATGGTAAACTTTGTAGTTACTGCAGTATTTAAAGTTAGTGTAAGCTTTTTTGGACAAAAGTCTTGGATTATGGCTTTTTTGGTCTTTTGCTGTAATAATTTTACAGATTATATGCCCTTTTGTTTTGTATCCAGGTTTAGTGTGTCAAATGATCTGAAATATGATGCTGAAAGAGACTTGAGGGACATTGGCGCAAAAAATATTTTGGTTCATTCCTTAAACAAGGTGTGGAAACTTTTTACTATGTACAATTGAGACAAACCTTTAGGTATGCTCGTGTGATGATACATGCATGTTACTGTTTAATACTATTCTTAAATTTTATGTTGAAACAAACCAGATTAATGGTGACCAGATACTCAACACAATTAATATTAACAATGAGGGGAAAAGAATGCAAGCCAAATACCTATCTTTAAAAGAGGGAACAGAGGATCTAGGGAATTATAGACCAGTCTGGCTGACTTAAATATCTGGAAGGATACTGGAACAAATGATTAAACAATCAGTTTGTAAGGACCTGGAGGATAATATGGTTATAAGAAGTAGCCAGCATGGATTTGTCCAGAACAGATCATGTGAAACCAACCTAATTTCCTTTTTTTGACAGGTTTACCAGCTTAGTGGATACGGGTGCAACAGTAGATGTAATGTAGCTTGATGTTAGTTAGGTTTTTGACATAGGCATAATGTGTCTTTCTCATAAGAAAACTGGGGAAATGTGGTCTAGATGAAATTACTGTAAGGTGAGTGCACAACTGGTGGAAAGACCGTACTCCTAGTAATTGTCAATGTTTCACTGTCAAATTGAGAGGGTGTATCTAGTGGGGTCTCTCAGGTGTCAGTCTTGGGTCTGGTACTGTAGTACTTTTATTAGTGACTTAGATAATGGATAGAGAGTGTATGTATATAATTTGCAGATGACTCCAAACTGGGAGGCGTTACAAGCATTTTGGAGGACAGGATTAGAATTCAAAAGAAGCTTGACAAATTGGTCTGAATTCAACAAGATTAAAGTCAATAAATATCAGTGCAAAGTACTTCACTTAGGAAGCAAAAATCAAATGCACAACTACAAAATGGGGGAGTCACTGGCTACGTGGTAGAACTGCTGAAAAGGATCTGGGGGTTGAAGTGGATCACAAATTGAATGAATCAACAATGTGACTTAACTGCAAAAAAGGCTAATATTCTGGGGTGTATTAACAGGAGTGTTGTATGTAAGACACATGCGGTAATTGTCCCACTACTTGGAACTGGTGAGGCCACAGCTGGATGCAGCTCTGGGTGCTACATTTTAAGAAAGATGTGGACAAGCTGGAGAGAGTCCAGAGGAGAACAAAATACATTTTAGAAAACCTGACATATAGGAAAGGTTAAAAGAGCTGGGTGTGTGTTTCATCTTGAGAGAAGATGACTGAGGGGGGACTTTGCTAATAATCTCCAAATATGCTAAGGTCTGTTATAAAGCAGATGGTGAACAATTGTTCACCATGTCCACAGAAGCTAGGATGAGAAGTAATGGGCTTAATCTGCAGCAAGGGAGATTTTTGGTTAGACATTAGGAAAACCTTTTTAAGAGTAGTTAAGCTCTGGAATAGGCTTCCAGGAGAGATTGTGGAATCCTCAACATTGGCGACTTTTTAAAAACAGGGATGGTGTAGGTTTACTTTGTCCTGCCTCAGTGCAGGGGGCTGGAGTTGATGACTTCTTGAGGTCCCTTCCAACCCTACATTTTTATAATTCCAAGTGCCATGTAGATGATTTTGTTCAGTTAATCTCTAAACTTGCAAATAATTAGCCATATATACCTAACTTCAAGCATAAATAGTGCCCTTAACTTCTGACGAAGTCCTTTTAGAGCTGTGCAGGGAATATTGCTTCTAATTTTTTTTTTTTTTTTGAGTTTGGCATTTGTATTGCTTTTTTCTTTTTAATGATAAATGCCTTGCTATGTAAGAGCTAAGTGCTGTTACTGGTCATATTCACTGTCTGACTTGAAATGATTTTGCTTCCTCTTTTTAAAGTCTGTTGGACCAATGACTGTAGGAGACAGATGAGTAAATCGTTGCTTTTTAGAATGTTAAGACAATTCATTTATAGTAGCTATTGTAAATAAATTTGATCTCTTGGCTAAATGCTGTATTCAACTTAAAAGGGGAAAAAAAAATGCTGAGCAGCTTCTGATTCATGACACATCTTGGCTTTACACTAGGGGAAACCCCTAAATTAGGGGCCTAAACTGTAAAATCTGCAGCCATGGAAGTTTATACCTTCCATGATGTACTTACAAGAGAACCACCATACTATCCTCTTAACCATATTCCCAGTTTGCAAATTGGGACCTTATCCTATAAATTGAAATCACTAGTGACTTCACTGTTATGTAAGGAATGCCGAATCAGTGCTTCAATCAATGTCACTCTTTGAGTATTCACTTGGGTTGTGGGGTATCTCTTCTTGACTAAGATGTGGACAGACCAATTTTTGTAACTTACTAAAATATAACTTTATCTTTTTTCTTGCAGTTCAAATATGGAAAAATTTCTTCCAAACATAATGGGAGTGTAAAGAAAGGTGTAATTTTTGCCACATACTCTTCTCTTATTGGTGAAAGTCAATCTGGTGGTAAATACAAAACCAGGTTAAAGCAGCTTCTCCACTGGTGTGGCGATGACTTTGATGGAGTTGTATCCTTTCATTTCTTAGTCTGCAACAGAAATAATTAAACCATAATATAAAACACATCTTTTGGTGCAAGACAGCCGTGTACATTTTATTTACGGTTATGTTTTAGGAAGGATGTTTTTCATTAATTTGAAACTATATAATATATCAGACACCACAAATGTTTTCTAAATGCTTTATTCAAAACATGTAGCACACTGTACATGTGACCAACTAGCAGCTTGATTCTGGTCCTATATTGGTGTAAATCAGGGATTGACTTCAATAGAGTTAATGAACTACATTGATGTAAACCAGAATGAGATCAGAATCAAGGTTTTGGTGTTTAAATAGGCAGGTTGAGCCTGGAATATGGTCATGAGAAACCTTACCTCTTAGTTAAATTATACGTAATTTCTTTCCAGTTCTTATGGCTTTTTCCTGTAAAATCTTTGGAGGAAACGCATAGTACTTCAAGAGAATTCATTCCAAAAATACATGTAAACATTATGGTAATTGTATATTTGAATAGTTTAAAATTGAATGTCTTGACATTGCCTTAGAAAAATTTGACTAGGCTTTTTTTTTTGACTGAAGTCTGTAGAACATTTACTAGTTAAAACTGATAGCTAATGAAAGTATAGAGTTCACTGCAAAAATCAATTAAAAAAATCCCTCTCCATTCTAAAGACCCTGTACTATATTGACTGTAGGATGGCATGTTTATTCCTTAATTAATGTTCAGATAGTATTTGATGAATGTCACAAAGCTAAGAATCTGTGTCCTGTTGGTTCTTCAAAACCAACAAAGACCGGCTTAGCTGTATTGGAGCTTCAGAATAAACTTCCGAAGGCTAGAGTTGTTTATGCTAGTGCCACAGGTAAGTACTACTTAATGCAGACGTTTAGAGAAAACTGACTTTTTATTGGCATTGGTACAGTATGTGCTATTCCTTTCAGGTGCGTCTGAGCCACGAAATATGGCATACATGAACCGTCTGGGAATATGGGGTGAAGGAACCCCATTTAGGGAATTCAGTGACTTTATTCAGGCTGTTGAAAGAAGGTAATGTAATGTCTTAAAGGATTGTAACAAGAACAGCTATAGTTGTGGCTGCATTATGGTTTCCATTTTTCCATTTCAACCCTGTTTTCAGTCACTTACAGTTCTCCTGAAACTCTTTCAGGCTTGTTCTGTGTCTAAAAGTGAACCTTTCTTAACTTTTTAGTAAAAAATGAAGTAAATGGAGCTTGGGTAGGGATATACTTTAAAAAAAAAATTGTAATTAACTTTCTAAAGCACTCTACAGCTGGAAAAGTTTGGGGTAGAATGGTTTTCAATTAGAGAAGTGCAGTTGGAGCCAAATTTGTCTCTTATGCCAGTATAAATGGGTAACTGAATGAACAGAAAATGCACTCATTTAACACACTCTGGAGAAATGCATATAAAAAAATGTCAGATAACTGTAACTTTGGCATGAAATTAATGTAAGTATAAAAATGGAAAAAAATTACAAGATGGCTACCCATGGATGTGTTAGGTTATTCGAAAGATAGGCTGCGTGAGAATTATCTACACAATCATATTGCAGGGTATATTCACAAGAGGGCAGAGTTATGGTTGTGCATGCAACCTTATCTCTAACATTTTCTGATTTGTGTTTAATCATACAACTGTAATGCTCATGCTCATTGGTTGTATGGAATAAATATTAGTTTCTTATTTTTCATAGTGTACTTAAATATGCCATTTACTTCTAAACAACTTTGTATTTTTTTGTTTTTATTCAGAGGTGTAGGTGCCATGGAAATAGTTGCTATGGATATGAAACTGAGAGGAATGTACATAGCAAGACAGTTAAGCTTTTCAGGTGTGACCTTCAAAATTGAAGAAGTTCTACTTTCACAGAACTACATTAAAATGTATAATAAATCTGTGAAACTGGTAAGAATTTATTCAGTTTTTAAATATTCATGACAGTTTGAACTAGTAGAGGCTGAGAACATAATGGATGGAGATCATTTGTTGTCAGACTAGGCATAGTGTCCTGATTATACAGCACATGCTGCTGTTATAGGAAAAGAATGAAGTCCATTAGCTTTGCTTTAGTATGAAGGTTCCATTACATATCCCTTTTCCTTGGAGAAGGGAGTTGCTCCTACTCTGGAATATAAAAGTTTAAAAGAATTTACTTCAGAAACATTTTTAAATGAGTCATTACAAAATCACAACAGGTTTCAAGATTTATATTACATTACTTATTCCCCAGCTTGTGCATAACAAGTCTGAATGACTTATCACTATAAAAATTCAGACTTCTTAATCTTCAGAAGGAATTCTCATATAAAATTGTGTAAACTTCTTATGAAAATTTTAGTTCAAATTGAGTTGAATTGTACTAAAAATAAAATAACTCCTAATTTTAATGAGCCATCTTTACAAACAAGGAAGTTGAAGTTTCTATAATTCACTTAACTCTTGGCTATTGCAATGGTCTTTTCTGGTTACTTGGTATATATACACTAATACAATTTTTCTACATAGAAAAACTGTAGAAATTTGTACCTTATATTGGATAATTGAATGGAACAAATAGTGTACATAATTGCATGTGTAAAAATACCAAGATCTATGTTGAGATATTATGATTGTTATATTTAAATTTGCAATGAAGGCATGTTTAATGCTTTCTGAGGTCTAACTTCAAGTTTGATTTCTGAAGTACTTCTCTTGAGCCAACCTTCTTGGTAAGTTTTTTTCAAAACTTCACAGCATTAATTCTGCTGCACAAAACTATCCTGATTATAACAGTCGCTTTTCATAGTTTGTCCCTAGTTTCTGGCAGGCAGTTATTGGTTTTCAGAACAGTGTTTCTTTAGCTCACTCACATGAAACGTTTTGCTATATACTTATTTGGTGTTGGATCTTCTGTCAGAGGACCATTCATTATTGTGTACTCTATTGTCCACCATTGCTTTTCAATTCTAATAATGCTATAAAAGACTACACATGTTTCTTTCTTTGGCTGTTACGTATCTAGTGACAGTAAAATGTATCTGTCTACTTTGAAAGGCGTGATATGTAAAACTTTCGATTTCTTCTTCAGTGGGTGAATGCCAGAGAGAAATTTCAACAATCAGCTGATCTTATTGATGCAGAGCAACGCATGAAAAAGTCTATGTGGGGTCAGTTTTGGTCAGCCCACCAGAGATTTTTCAAGTACCTCTGCATAGCATCCAAAGTCAAAAGGGTGGTACAGCTAGCTAGAGAAGAAATCAAGAATGGGAAAGTAAGTTGTTTTTAAGTCTGGTAGTAGTTCAGAATGTTTTGGAAACCTCTCTAAGTGTAGTACCATCCAAATTACTTGTTCAAATGGCTTTGTTCCTAGTACTAATGTGTTTTGAAGGTGTGTGGTGACATGCTTTTCAGCTTTCTGAGGTTGTTCTTGATTGTGAATCCCTGTTTGTCTAACTTGCGAGAAGTAAAAATACATGCTTTTTTTTTTATCAGAATCTCAGGGCTTTGTGTTAACTGTATTTGTTTTTTTCCCCTTTACAGTGTGTTGTTATTGGACTACAGTCCACAGGAGAAGCAAGAACGTTAGAAGCCTTAGAGGAGGGTGGTGGAGAATTGAATGACTTTGTTTCCACAGCAAAGTAAGTCTTCCTTTTTTTGCTACTGTATCAGTGTGTCTGAGTGAATTTTAGTGCCAAAGAATGGGGGAGAACTGAAAAGTCGCTATATAACCATTTTTTTTCTTAGATGAAAATTGGACTGAGGAACATTCATTCTTAATTTTGTTTTTTCTTACACAGAGGAGTATTGCAGTCTCTCATTGAGAAGCATTTCCCAGCTCCTGACAGGAAGAAGCTTTTTAGTTTGCTGGGAATAGATCTGACTGCTCAAAGTAATAACAATTCACCTAGGGACAGTCCTTGCAAGGAGAATAAAATAAAGAAACGGAAAGGTAAAGTGTAAGCTGCTATTTTTATGTATTTCTTATACTATTGAGGTAATGGCAGCACTTGAAGAATTGCACAGAATAAGATTCTTTGTAGAAGAATCTTTTTATGGGTGGCAAATGGAAACGATTGGGACAGCTAATGGAATCTGGTTCTTGGAGGACCAAATCTTTCACCTTCGATCTGTTTGATAGTATAGATATGCAGGAAAGTTGCAACCTTCGTGACTCACCAAAAAATTTAAAGATTTAAATTGTTAAATTCATGTACTTTCAGTTACGATTCACCCAAAAGCCCCATTTCAGTACTGAGACTCCATTTTTTCCTGGTCACTGCAGAGGTATGAAAACAGACTGTGAAAAATAGACTACAGATCTCTAAATTCATTCTTATTTTGGGGGAAAATAGGTGAGGAAATAACTAGAGAAACCAAGAAAGCTCGTAAAACAAGTGGCCTCGCTGGGAGCAGTTCCGATGAGAGTGAAAGCGAGTCTGATGCCTCAGACAACGAAGAAAGTGACAATGAGAGCTCTAAGTTTTTGAGTTCTGGAGATGATGATGACTTCAACCCATTCAGAGATGAATCTAGTGAGGATGATGAAGATGGTAAGATAACATAAATACTCTTCATTAAGAATTTAGCTGTATTTCTGAATATTACATGTGTTAAATAAAGTTATATTTGACTTCAGTATGAGGCAAAATAGAGGACATTTGTTATAAATGTATAATGTGAAGAAGTACACCTCTACCCTGATATAACGCTGTCCTTGGGAGCCAAAAAATCATAACACGGTTTCACCTATAATGCGGTATCTGCTTTGATCTGCCAGAGTGCGTGCTCTCCACCCCCCCCCCCCCGAGCACTGCTTTACCGCGTTATATCCGAATTCGTGTTATATCGGGGCGTGTTGTATCAGGGTAGAGGTGTAGGTCCTGAAATTAAATAGTTGTAAAACTGTCATTTTATGCTGAGTGGTTTACCTATGATAGCTGTACCTGACATATCTTTTTAAAGTATTTTTTAAACTGCTTTTATGACATAGAATTTGTCATTGTACTTGGGAATGTTTAAGGTTTTTGAAAATGGGGGAAGTGTCTTGATTATTTACTTAATATTTTCTTTAACTTCAGACCCCTGGTTAATTAGAAAAGACCATAAGAAAAATAAAGACAAGAAAAAGAAGAAAAGTATAGATCCAGATTCCATTCAGAGTGCCTTATTAGCTTCTGGTCTTGGATCAAAACGACCTAGCAGTTTTTCTTCCGTTGCTGTTACCACTGCTTCTAGTACCAATACATCGGGTATGAATGAGTTTTGGAATTATTTAGAGTCTCTCTACTTTTTCCCAACAATTGCAAAACATTTTAAAAAGCTTAACTTCTTAAGGAATTGTTTTTGTCTATAAATTTCAGCTACCAGTAATACTAACAGCAGCTTTGTAACAAGTCAAGATGCTGTTGAAAGAGCCCAGCAGATGAAAAAAGAATTGCTCGATAAACTGGAAAAACTAGCTGAAGACCTTCCTCCTAATACTTTGGATGAACTTATAGATGAACTTGGTGGTCCTGAGAATGTGGCTGAGGTAGGTCCAGTGTGACTATTGCAAGTGAAGAATTTGCTGTTTCCCTCCATTTCACTCAATGTTTACATGTATTTTAGAAATCTGATTGTGGTATTACTATTTTTCAAGACGTGTAGTGATGTGAGCTGCATATTAGAGGATTAAGCTGATAAGTTCATTAGTCTTGCAGGTCCTTATAACTCCCAACACTATAGAACGAAATGTAAAGGCTGGTGAAGAGAAGGGATCTGAATAGATAAGGACTGAGGAAAAACTCTGATTTTATTTTTCTGTTAAAATAATTGTTAGGAGTTTCCTCATTAGGTAAGAAATGCTGGCTTCTGTCTGTCTTTGTACTGTTTCTTAATTTCCTGACTAGTTAGCTAAAGCTGATATACTGTGTGTAGCAACATATGACTGTGCTATTCTCTTTTAACTCCAGGTTTCTTTCCCAAAAATCCAGGCAGGGAGGACTCAGAGTGGAGTTGAGGACCAGGGAGGGCATGTGTGTAAAGCTTCACATAAGGGGCAACATTTTACTCACTAGCAATAAGAAAATTTTCTCCTGTAGACTTACCTGTCTGTCCAGCAGAAACATTCTTTGTTCCCTTAGTTCAGAAGAGACCCTGTTACTTTCAGTGAAGTTCTTTGGAGTTCTAGTTCCTTTCTTCAGTGCTCTTAAATTCCTCCCCTTACAAGCACCATTTCTGTGATGTTCCTAGCTGCTGATCCAGGGAGCACAGTGTCAAGCTATCATCCTTCACAGCTTTCCATACTTCCATTTACTAAATATTATGGCTTGTCTACATGAAGAATTAGATCACGGCAAGCTGGTGTGTGAATCTACCTTGCACTACTATCCAGTCACAGTCTAGCTGTCTATGGACAACGCACATCAGCAGGGTGTTTTGTTAACATGTTTTGAGCTAGTTCTGTTCAAAGGGGACTAATCCAGATCAAAGCACTCTGTTAACATGCTTAGTCGTGCAATGAGTGCAGTTGGACTGGACTAGATGACCTCTTGAGGTCCCTTCCAGTCCTGTGATTCTATGCATCGGGAGGGTGCACACAGACCGTGGCAGGCTATTGCAGAGTAAATTCACACTGCAACTTGCTGCTGCCTAATTGTTTGTGTAGACAAGGTCTTAGACTTACGAGTTCCATGACTTAACTACAGTAACAGTTAAATTCTCTAGTTACTAATGATGCTTCCATTATCAGGCAATAAAAAAACACTAAGATTGGTAACCTCTGCTTTATTGGGTTGCCTTTTTGATTCTCAAGGTTATTCCCAAATAGGAGTATTGTGCACCGCTCAGTATTGCCTCAATCAGGCAGTTTTCAGTTATAAAATGTATCTTAGTCTTTGGATACTTGCAGTGAATTCTTTTGCTGTCCTCTAAGGATAGTGTGTGAATAAATAGCACTGATGTTTGAAGTAATTTCATGTTCGATCATTTCAGCACCTCTATGATAAGGTTAAAAATGTTCCTTTGTTTTAAAGATGACAGGCCGCAAAGGGAGAGTTGTAAGCAATGATGATGGCAGCATATCTTACGAGTCAAGGTCTGAACTTGATGTACCTGTTGAAATTCTAAATATCACAGAAAAGCAGAGATTCATGGATGGAGACAAGGTAAACTACTTCTGTGTAACTTCAAGGAATAGTTTTATGTTGGAGAAATTATAGCAGGTCTGTCCACAAGCTGTAGGTGCTAGACTATTAAAATGTGCCGTTCCAAGCACAGTATAATGGAAATTAACTGATCCAGAGAATCATATACCCATTTTGCTCCTAAAAGCTCTGTCAGATACGTGACTTCTATGGAATGCCCTGAAGGTCAACAGGCTTTTTCAGCTGGGAATGGGAATTTAACCTGTAGCTTTAAGTCTTTTCTGTTTAAAAGGGGAGACTCAAATTCAAGTTGACACGTGCTTCCAGGAGCCACGCAGAGCGGGAAAAGCCCCCAATCCCGCTCCCCGGTAGGAGCTTGAGGGCTGGATTAAAACGTTTGGAGGGCCAGATGTGGCCCCTGGGCCATAGTTTGCCCACCCCTGTTGTAGAGGCTGTGGAGGCCTGAGTGATATAGCTGACCCTCAACTAAACAGGGACACAGTTATCGGACTAGCTGCACCTCTGACCCCTTGCTGAGTGCATTGAGTGCAGCCGCTTATGTTTCAGGCCACCTCACCTCTCCTGCGATGGAATCATGCAGCTTCTCCGGGTCTTAGACTGGGTTCTGCACTGCAGGACACTGGCTCAACCATACTTACCCCCAACAGATCTGGCTGGGTTCATGTACCTCCAGTTCTTCCCTCTGAGAGCTTCTAACCAGTGCATTAGTGACTCAAAACAGCCTTTTTAAATCAAAGTATTTAACAGTAGGAACAAAACAAGAGAAAAGAGGCTTTAAAACTAAAGTTCCACATGTCTGTCTTTCTGTCTGTCTGTCTTACCTAAAGGCTTACCAGCTTCCTGGAAGCTTAGGAAGGTCTAACTTCTTCAGACCCACAGGTTGGTGTCTGTCCCACCATGAATAGCTGCCAACTACTGTTTCCACATTAGATTGAGCAACTTTAACTGTTTGTAGGCCTTTTGCAATGTTGTAGCCATGTTGGCTCCAGGATATATGAGAGACAAGGTAGTTGAAGCAATATATTTTATTGGACCAACTTCTGTTGATGGAAGGTACAACCTTTCAAACTACACAGAGTTCTTGAGTTCTGAGGAACCAACACCCCCAGACCTGAAGAACTCTATGTAGTTTGAAAGCTTGTACCTTCCATCAACCGAAGTAGGTCCAATAAAATATTTTCTTACCTGCCTTGTCGCTCTGATAGACCTTTTGGTTCCCAGCCTTTGCAAAACAAGCTGTTAACTTGGCTGGAGCCAAGGAGCTAAGATCTTCCCATTTAATAGCTCAGGCATTGTCTTTTGATTCCTCTCAGTGTTTGGCTGGAAGTGTCTCGTATGGAGTCACTGTCTTGCCTTCCTGCTTGTTTTTCCAACAGCCTGCTAGTAAACTAAATCAATATATTCATACAGTAAATGCTCTAATTAATGGTCTCATACAATATTCATAAGTTAGAGCCTCTCCATATTGCCTATACCCACAGTCCTGTGAGATGCACAAAGACCAACTTGAGAAATCATGTTTTCCATCTGAAAGTTTTACACTGACTACTGTTAAAAGGAACTCCTCAGACTACAGAGAGCCTATTTTTTTAGCTTGGTTGTTATCTTACTACCCTCACTAAATTGTTTGAGTGAGTTGTAACTTAACTTTGCTGTTGCAGTTTTGTTACAAGTTGCATGTAAATATTTAAATCTTGTATCCTATTTTATAAATACTTGAGTATTTTCACCTGAGGATCAAATGCCAAAATGGTTTTGTACTTGGCTATCAAGGTACCCTTATCCAGTTCAGCAGCCTTATAATTTATATTGCTTGTGGTCAGCTGCCACCTTAGTTGCTATAGGAGTTTTTCTCCCTTTCTTTCATGAGGGGCTGGCCTACATCACAGGAGCCACTCCTCTGCCATGGCAGGACTGGATGCAGATCCCTGCTGTTCTCCAACTGCAAGAGGGAGTTGCTGGGGAAGTAAAGTTGATAACCCCCTTTCCTCTCTCAAGGGCTGTGTGCCTCTAGCATTTGTTTAGCCTAAATGCAAGAAAATTAAAGCTGATTCTCTTTCTCCTCCCCCCACCCTCCATGTGACAAGTACCAAAGCTAGTGGTGTAGCTCCAGTCACATAGCAATCGGCAATTCCAAAATCAGCTGTTTTTTTCACAGATCTGGAAACTAAGGTTTGGTCTAAAACTTCTAATTTTTCTTCTATGTAAAAGAACATTGCCATCATCTCAGAAGCTGCCAGCTCAGGTATTTCATTACAAGCCGACCGTAGAGCTAAAAATCAGAGGCGGAGAGTGCACATGACTTTGGAGTTACCATGGAGTGCAGATAGAGCAATACAGCAATTTGGTGAGTTAATGTCTGTGTTTTTAATTCATCAAGTTCAGAAATAATCTTCTGCACCGGGCATGTCGATGGTTAGTTTTGGTATAATATGGAGTATTCTGTTCGTTAAGTGCTGAGTTCTCTCTCTAATTCTGGTGAATAAAAGGGTGGTATATACAGAGATTTGTAAATGCTAGAATTAGTTGTTTTGCATGTTCTGTGCATCTTCAAGAAGTAATCAGAAATTTGGAGTGTTGCATTTGGTAATAAGTATCAGGGGGTAGCCGTGTTAGTCTGTATCTACAAAAACATTTGGTAATGTTCATCTGCACATAGTTTTATAGTAGTATTTACAGCATAATCAACAATTTTCTAAATGTTGTCTTGCTAGTGGAGCAGCAGGATTGCTAAATTTAGTTATATTTAAGCTCCACCCCTCTGCCCATCCCATAGTAAGGCCAACTGTCTATGCCCCTCAGTAGAATTTTTACCTGTAGGCATAGTGTAAAAAGCCTAAGCAAAATTGGTAGTATACCTTGTTTCATAGTATGTGCATCCACAAACATTTCTCCTTTGTGCATAGCAGTTACTTGTTTCTCTTTACAGGATTTGTCTAAAACTGGTATAAAATAGTATGTTTTTCTGAATTTTTTTAGTCCCTATCATATTGACTCTACTTAAGAATGTATTAAGTCTGTGAGTGGCAAAAGTATCAGTCTCTCCCAATTGCTTGTTTAGGATTCTGGAGGAGACTTTGTTCTACTTTCCCATCAAATGTTCTATGGAGCTCCTGGTTGGTTTTTGTAACACTTTTTTCTCACTTTTAAATACACAGGAAGAACTCACAGATCAAACCAAGTTACTGCACCAGAGTATGTGTTCCTAATTTCCGAATTGGCAGGAGAGCAAAGATTTGCATCTATAGTTGCCAAAAGATTAGAGAGCTTGGTAAGACTGTTACATATAGCTCAGTTAAAGCAGTGTACAGAGTTTATTTTTCAGTACAGAGATCTTTTGTATGTTTTAATTACAAAGATATTGTCTTGACAGGGAGCTCTCACTCACGGTGACAGAAGAGCAACAGAAACTCGAGACCTTAGCAGGTTCAACTTTGACAACAAGGTGACATCTTTGTTTTGTTTGTTTTGTTTTTTAAATAAAAACAGATTGCAACAATACTTATACTAGGCAAAATGAAAAACTGCCTGTGAAGGAATCCCCCCCCCCCCCCCCACTTCTTTTTTGAACTGTTGCATTTTGCTTCGCTCTCTGCCTGCTGTTTGGGGCAGGAATGTTGTACTCTGCTTAGAAAGTGCCATGTGAAATTACAGCATATATAGATGACTTAATCTACCAGGTAAAGTTCCATGTTTTAACCCTAAGCAGTTTGCTGTCTTTCAGTCAATATGTTGAGCATCCTGAACCTTGGGAAATGAGCATGTTAAGGAGAAATTAACAGACTGGGCTATTACCGTACAATACATCTTGTTAAACTGAGACATTGATTAGAATTTTCCCATTTTCTTCTTCCATGGTCTAATTTGGTTGTTTGTAATTTGGATTATGAATGGAAAAATTATATTCAGGCAAGGATTAAAAATAGTTCTTTAACCCATGGTGTATATCAGCATGCATACTATGATTCTGAGGCTTAACCCATATGCAAAATTTTTACAGTACTGTACCTTAATCTTTTTTCTTGATACAGTATGGGAGAAATGCTTTGGAGATAGTTATGAAATCCATTGTGAATTTAGATTCCCCAATGGTGTCCCCACCTGCTGACTATCCTGGAGAATTTTTTAAAGGTAATTGTAATTCACTGTTTTCTAGCCTCTAGTTTTTGGTCATCCTTTTTCAAAAACACTTATTTCTGTTTTTCTAAATGGTAGTGAGTGAGGTTTAAATGTAAAGAATTATTCTTAATATCAAGTGGCTTAATTCTGTTCATATTACCAGTACAGTTCTTCTAATTTTGTTTAAATTAACTTGTGAATTGTATGTACTAGTTCATAACCCAAACATGAGATCCATTTCCCCCATGATAAATACAGCTGAATATAATTTCCATAAAAATGTTTAAGGGAACATATATGGTTATTGTATGCATAGGAAAATTTGAAGTTAAATTCTCTTTAAATTCTCTTTTCCTATGGGTACCAATTTCAGGGAATGCTACAATCTTGTCTAGTTATGGCTATTTAACCACAGTACTACCAGCGACTGTTTAAAAACCTTGCCTGATTGTCATCCTTTTTAAAAAGCTTATTTTGCTCTTTGGTTGATCAAAAATGTAGTAATATTGGTATTCTTCTCTACCCATGTTTCGACTGGACCAGAAGCTAAGGCTTTGTATCGTGACTTCCTAGCATATGGATCAGTCACAAATTTTATATAATATGGGTTGTGCAAAGATTTGGAATTGGATTTTTGGGGCAGGAGTGGGGATTATCTGCTGCTCCAGAGGTAACACAAATATTGGTTTCCTAGCTATTTTCATTTTCTTGGCAATGATATGCTTATTCAGAGGACAGGACAAAGGTGGCTTCAGTCCTTGTAACTTTTTCTTCCCTTAGATGTTCGGCAAGGATTAATAGGTGTGGGCCTAATAAATGTAGAAGACCGATCAGGAATTCTGACACTTGACAAAGGTATTGTTTTTGGTATATCTGTCAATGTTGATAGCTGATGTATAATTTATTGTCACATCAAATCACTTTTGTGATTATAAAACCACAGACCTGGCAGTGAGATTTGGGGGTAAATGTGGCACCTGAAACTTTTCTTTCATTTATGTCTAGATTTGAAGTTAATCTCTTTAAGAAATGTATGCTTTATTTCAAAACCACATGTTTTGCTTTGATCGTTTGAGAAATTTGATTTTAGTTAATTTTTAAAACATTTGAATTCTAGTTTAGGACTTAACTTGTACCAGAATTCTCTCTCCTAAGCTGTGCACTTTATACATAATATGTGATTCTTTTTAGATTACAACAATATAGGAAAGTTCCTGAATAGAATTCTGGGTATGGAGGTGCATCAGCAGAATGCTTTATTCCAGTATTTCTCGGATACGTTAAATGCAGTTATACAAAATGCTAAAAAGAATGGAAGATATGACATGGGTATTTTAGGTAAGTCAATCAAATTTCTTAAATTTTTTTCTGCTCCTTAATCTGCTTCTCTTACACAAATTCTTCCATTCTTGGTTTGGTTTTTTTAAGATCTTGGGTCTGGAGATGAGAAGGTCAGAAAGGCAGATACTAAGAAGTTTTTAACTCCGGGATACTCTACCTCTGGACGTGTAGAATTATACACAGTAAGTTAATTCCATGTTTCTTCAAACTACCATAACTTTAGTTGCCCTTGAAAATCCTTAATTTGAAACTTCAGTTCTTAATTTGAGACTTGGCATCTTACTATGGAGGCTTGTAAACCTGTTACTGAAAGAATGAAGTTCCTTGTCTTCTTGTAAAGAGCACTGTTAATTGTTTTGACTTAATTGTTTGTATGTAATCTCAGTAACTGTTCCAAAATGTGTTTAAACATCCTTGTTTTAATGTCTCTTGTAGATCAGTGTAGAAAGAGGTATGTCTTGGGAAGAAGCAACTAAGATTTGGGCTGAGCAAACTGGACCAGATGACGGATTTTATTTATCTTCGCAAGTGAGAATCTACTATTAAAATGTTCTGTTCATATTTCTCAGATGCATTTTTTTTAACAGAACAATTTTAAGGCTGCCCCAATAAACTCCACTAGCTTGATTTCTTTCACATTAAGTGTGTAAAGTGAATATATTCAGAACTTTAAGATTTTAATTTAGTACAATCACTTTTTTATTCAGTTTAGCAAAATGCTTTCAAATTTTTATAAATGAGCACATTCATTTTAAAAATGATTTTGTGGTTTATGTAACTTTTTTTAATCATCAAGCACTGATGACAAAACACTACTTTTAAGATATTCAGGACAGGTATCAAATGTAACCATACACTTAGTTTTAAGTGGTATTCATCTTAAAATGTGTGTGCTCATCCTACATGCAAGGAAAACAGTGTATAATCTCAGACATTAGGGTGTGGATTATGGTAATCATGACACACCTCTTGGAAGCCAGTGCCCCTATCTTTCACCTCGTGCCAAACTACCATTAAGGCATGTCATTACTAGACCATAATACACACCCTGTTGCATCATATTGGTTAATTCTGTACTCTTTTTAGTTGTGAACCAATATGTATGTAGAATTAGAATCTGGATAGCCATTCAACACATAATCTACTTCTGTCCACTTTTATTGTACGCATAATTATTTAGGAAAGACACTGCCCATGTTTAAACTTACAAAATAATCTTTTTTTTTTTTTTTCAGATAAGAAATAATAAGAAAACTGCTATCTTGGTAAAGGAAGTGAATCCCAAAAAGAAGCTTTTCTTAGTATACAGACCAAACACTGGAAAACAACTCAAATTGGAAACGTATGCAGACCTGAAAAAGAAATATAAGAAGGTGACCTTTTAAATCAACATTACTTAAAAAGTAGTTTCTTTGTGGTAAAAGACAATGCAGGATTTTTCAAAACTATGTCTGTCCATACACAATATGGTGGCAAGTTATAGAAATACTGCATAAACAACATTGGTTAAGTAAACTTTCATCCAGTACAAGCCTATAGTTATCTTTATCCAAAAAGATCTTTAGGGCTTTGCAAGCCTGCCTAAACAAATAGTGTTTTGTATCTGCAAAAACTTATCAAAAGATCAATCGTTCCATTAAGACTTTCCACAACCTAGAAGCAGGTTTCCAAACATCAACTAGGGAGAAGGTTCAACTGCAATTCAACTTACAGAAGATGCTTTATCCCCAACATGTTTGACCACTAGGTACAATATACTCTAACCATACATGATTCTGAACTTTAGAAACAGTAGCAGGGAAACAGCCGAAAGTGCTGAAATTAATCCTTTCATTTGTCCCTCAAGATTGTATCAGAGCAACACAATTGCTTTAGTAGCCAATGTTTTCATAGGTAAGTTAAGAACTTACACTATGCTTACAAGAATAAGTGAATGAAGTGCACTCAAGTGTGACGATGTCTTTGAGCTTGTCATTTTATAAACGAGGTTCTTGGATCTAGACATCTCAATCAGTGAGATTCTACTATACCTAAACCTTTATTGACATCCTTAGCAGGATTTCCACTTTTAGCATGGATGAACCAAAATGCTTGCCGAGCAATATAACTTGGGATTGTTCATATTTAGTACTAAAAACAAAAAACAAAACCATAGGCGTATCAATATTATCTGTTGCCCCATTGCTACAAGCAAAATACGGTGTGCTGTTCTGTAGTTTTCAGAAGCCACGTTTATATTTTAATACAACTTTTAAATGGCTTTTCAGGTACCTTCTGAAGATGCTCTACCACATTGGCTAGAGCAGTACAATTCATCGGCAGATACCTGTACCCATGCTTATTGGTTAGTATTTATATGTATATAAACAGGTTTTCTACCAAGGTGTTTGACTAAATCTGTTACTTTATCACTTGGACCAGGAGTCTGCAGTTTAATTTATCAACTTTTCATCCATATCTTCATAAAAATTCCAAGAGCCAATATTGGTCACTTCATGTAATTTCTGAAGGAGTCTCAAAGTCAACAGTCCAAGTGGTAATCTGCAACTTCTTACCTTACAAGAGAGAGATGAAACTATGAACTTGTTTTCAGACTTCAATTTTTAGTTCAGAGTGGGCATAATGAAGAACTTTTGTAATAACCCAGAGGGACTAAAAGTATCTCATGCTTTGGTAAACATATTGATCTGTTGAGATGTATTCGATATAACTAACTTGAAAAAATGTAAACTCAGTAACTTTAGCTAGATTCAGAGTTTAGATGGTTGAACTAAAGAACATTAGTTTTAATGCTGATTCTCCTAGCAGTATGCTGTTAAACCCTCAACATCTGGTGCCTTGACTTCTCAGTGCTAACCACTGATGAAGAATGTCAGTGTTAGTACCCGAACAGCTGAATTTGTTTACAGAGCACTTACCCTCTTGCTATTTCTAATGGACATTATTGGTCAGAGCCTCAGCTGGTGTAAATTAGTGTAGCTCTAGTTACTTTAATGCAGCTATGTCAGTTTACACCCGCTGAGGATCTAGCCCGAGATGTACTTTAAAAGGCATTTTGTGAAGTAGCTTTATCTCTGTCCCCATCGCACTATCCAGCTTGACTATCTTCATTTTCTCATCCTTTAGTGTTTACTTACACAAGTACAGATCATTTGAATTGTAAAATACTCTCCCTTTTTCTTTAATGTGTTACACTCTCTTCCTCCTCCAGGAGAGGCAATTGTAAGAAAGCAAGCCTGGGATTAGTTTGTGAAGTGGGCCTCCGCTGTCGAACTTACTTCGTCTTGTGTGGTTCAGTACTAAGTGTCTGGACAAAAGTGGAAGGAGTTCTAGCCTCTGTGAGTGGTACAAATGTGAAAATGCAAATAGTTCGGCTAAGGGCGGAGGATGGACAGAGGATTGTAGGTAAGCAAGTTTGTCCGTTATTTTACCTTGTCTCTGCTGGACCACATAGCAGTCAGTTAGACTCAGTGTATAGACTGAAGAGTTATCTTCTGAGTTTGTGTAGGAGGTATCCAGGTACACATAGAGAGTAGGCCTTTGTGCCTTACTATAAGTAAGTATTTTGACTTCTGTATTATGAGTTGTTTGCATGAGGTTAAAGGGGAGGAGCTATTCCAAACCAACCTTCTGTGAAAACTTCCACCGGCTAGAGCTGAAGAGCAAAAAAAAATGTAGTGTGTGTGAATCACTTCAGGCTAAGCAGCAGGCGCACTGTCGAAAAGGTAAGGGTCGTTGCACCCCTACACTACTGGACCAGTGTGTTGCACTTTCCCCCTCCTGTTTATCACCTGATGCATATTTCCCAACAAAGGCAAGATCCACCTCTGCCCCAATACACCTGTGGTTCTCTCTGCCACCCAAGTCTTTTCCACCCAGCTATCTTTAAAACCAGAGTCACTCCCCTTTTCAGCCTTGAAGAGGGGTGGCAAACCCTTAATTCAACCACTAAAATACTCACTTCTGCAGTGTTTGTGGGCTATTGAAGCCATGGCTGAAAAGTATGCGTGGAGAATGTAGGCCTTAGCACAGAGGTGAGCAAACTTTTGGCCTGAGGACCACATCTGGGTATGGGACTTGTATGGCAGGCCATGGATGTTCATGAAATTGGAGGTGCGGGCTCTGGGGTGGGGCCAGGGATAAGGGGTTTGGGGTGTAGGAGGGAGCTGCAGGCTGGGGATGGAGCAGAGGGGTTGGGAGTATGGAAGGGGGCTATGGGCTGAGGCAGGATGTTGAGGTGTGGGAGGGGGTACGGGCTCTGGGCGCAGGTTTCAGAGTGGGGCCAGAAATAAGTTCAGTGTGTGGGAGGGGGTTCTGGGCTGGGGCAGGGGGTTGGTGTAGGAGGGGCTGAGGGCTCCAACTGGGGGTGCAGGCTCTGGGGTGGGGCTGTGGATGAGGGGTTTGGGGTGCAGGGTGCTCCAGGCTGGGATTGAGGGTTCAGAGGGTGGAGGGGGATCAGGGCTGGGGCAGGGGGTTGGGGTGTGGGAGGGAGATGAGGGGTGCAGGCCCTGGGAAGTGCTTACCTCAAGCAGCTCCCAGTAGCAGCAGCATGTCCTCCTCTCTGGCTCCTACATGGAGGTGCAGTCAGGTGACTCTGCGCACTGCCCCATCCGCAGACCACCCCTGCAGTCCCGTTTGGCCATGGTTCACGGCCAATGGGAGCTGCAGGGGCGGCACTTTGGCCAGGGGCAGTGTGTGGAGCCCCCTAGCTGCCCCTGCGTGTAGGAGCTGGAGGGGAGACCTGCTGCTGCTTCTGGGAGCCGCACAGAGCGACGGCATGAGCAGGGCAAGCCCCCGACCCGCTCCCCGGTGGGAGCTTCAAAGTCAGATTAAAAGGTCTGATGAGCCAGACACGGGCCGTAGTCTGCCCGCCCCTGCCTTAGCAGCTTAACTCAAATGTCCCTAAACTCAGTGAAGATGTTTAAACTGGGTTTTGTTTTGTTTTCTCTTCATTCCTGAACTTCTGTGGTTTTGCGTCATCTTCTGTTCAACCAGGAGAGTGAATAAATGGCCAATTGCTGCCTTGTGCATCATTTAGTTGAAGGTACAGCAAGAGTAGTTGAAGCTGTACTTCCCTAAAGACAACTTGCATTTTTTTCTCTGCTAGTCTGTGACTGAAGGATCAGATGACTTTTGAATGTACTACTTTTAGTTGGCAATAGAACCTGTTGTAGCGCTCAATAAATTCTTAAAGCCCTTGACATAAAAAGATTTAATTTTCTATGCAAAAGCTACTGCTGACATTTAAGGAACTTGGAACTATTGGCCTAAGTTCTTAAACATACAAACATTGTATACATGTATGAAGTACAACTGACTTGTTGCTAATTACAGGTTTGCTCATTCCTGCAAATTGCGTATCGCCCCTTGTAAACCTCCTGTCAACATCAGACCAGTCTCAACAGCTTGCAGTACAACAGCAGCAGATATGGCAGCAACATCACCCACAGAGCATCACCAACTTCAACAATGCATAAGAGGACAGACTACAGATGTTGACTTTGGTGTTTGAGAAAAGGCTGTAAAAGCATATCACTTGCATAAAAATCAGGGACAGATTCCAAAGAAATATTTTTTCAGTTCAGTTGTGTGCTCTCAGAAGTACTTTGGGAATAAAGAGGTACATAAAGGATGGTAGAACTGAAAGCCAGCAGTTGCTTATGGTGGTGCATCTGTCTATGCTCTCTGTAGAGCTTCCTGTTTGCTTTTACTTTTGGCCTTTTAAGCCACAAACCACAAATTTTGTTTGAAAATTCTTGAAAATTCCCAAACAGGCTTTATTTTTATCTTGTCATACAGTGCTCAGGGTTTAACGCAGTACATCAATGCCATTGCTGTGGGAGATAACCTCGAATGCATGTATTGAGTATATATAGAAAATATATATTGGGTTTTTTCTCTTCAGCTTGTAAGTTTATATAAGCATGAAAACTAGAGATTGCACATCATGCATTCATTCAGGTTCCTTCCCAGTTTGTTTGACAGTGCATGTCTTTGGAAACAGGCATGAACAGGATAAACACCCCAGTCAAGAATTCCGAGAGAAACAATCTTAGTTGTACAGCATTGGTTATTGCATTTTTATAGTGTTTATACCCAAGTATTGCATTTTTTCTGGTTCTCTCCTGGAGGTTATATATTTGAGTCTGCAACATGTTTTTTGTGATAAGCATCTTAAATTAAAAAGTTACTTCATTTTAATGTATTAATGGTATTCCTAATGTGTAATGCAAAGATGGCTAAAAGCCTTTCCTTTAAAATTAAAATATTTCCTTAATCCGAGGTGACTATGGAAACTAAGTGCAAATTCACTTCCACCTCGCATACAATCTTATATTTTTTACTTCATTAATGTAATTTAATTTGTCACTTGTAAGATGAAACCTTACTTGAGCTGTAAATTAGACAATGGGAAACTCTTGAGGGTTCCGCTATATGTGCTGTTTCTGTTACCCAGTAACTTGAATACTGTTTAATATGTTGTAAGACATTGTAGAGTTTATCTGGAGCTGTTTAAAAGAAATTGTAATGTACAAATGTGAATAGTCACTTATCTATAATATGGGTAAGTTTTGTTTTGCCTATAATAGTAGATGTTTATAAGAAAGTGAAGGACAATGTTTGTCATTTCTTGCTTGCACAGGTTGCACTATTGAAAAATTGAGATTGTATAAACCTGTCCAAAAAACTGCAAGATACCAAAATCTTGTAGATGTCAAATAAAACGTTATTGTACTAACAAAACTGGAGTCTTGTTTAGGCAATCACTGTATTCCAAAAAATTAACAAGTCTAGTTTGGCATTCAACAAGACTTGAATGGTCCAACCTACTTAAACTAGTCTTCTGTCGTATGGTCCATATCAGTCTTTAAGTTGAGCTAGTTTAGTATCTGAGACAAGGGATAAACTCTATACTGAACTTCAGTATATATTTTACAAGTAAAGATAGTGCTGTAAGTACAGTAAAGATAAGGGTAAATGGTTGACCTGATGGCGACTTAGTGCTGTGATCCATTGTAGTGCCTGCTTCATTTCCTTAAACACTTACTCAGTGGACCAGATTCTGATGTCTCAGTGATGTAAATTTGGGATAACTATGGAACTGAGATCAGAAATTGATCTAATAACCTTAGATTTAACTCCGTTAGATTAATGATCAGTGTGAAGTCCCGTTATTGCACTAGTATTAGCACATGCAGCACTAATATAGGAAGAACTCATGAATTTGGGGGAAAATGTGTGTGTGCAGGAAGTTCCATGTTTTATTCAGCCAGCAATTGAACAAACTGAAATGCATTTTGAAATAAAGATTTGTAACTACAATTGATGTGTCTGAGGCTAATGCTGGCAGCAGCTAAACTGCGAGAGAGGATTTCTAACCCAGGTACAAGTGGGTGCAGTTCTATTTCTAACTGTGAAATTGCAAGACAGCATTGACCTGACCTCAAACCCCTCCCCCCCCCAATACTTTGTTCTAGTGGGGGCAAAGAGTTATTTGACTGCTGTAATGTCATCAGCAGATGCTGGTGATCCAGGCAGGCTGGACATTGTGGACCATAAAAGTAGCAGGAGTGGTGTGAGTTGCATGCTCATCATTGCCTCGTTAGTGGGTACATTCAACATCCTAATAAAGGTGAAATATACTTCATTCATTCTGAGGAGAGGCTGCTTACTCTCAACCCTAAAATTGTTGTGTTGAACAAAACATCTTCAATGTGTTCCTGGGTTGGAAACCTGAATGCTCTATCTGCAATGCAAGTGCAGAGCCTGGTCAAGAAACTTCCCCAAAAATGCAGTTTTCCATTTTCCAATCCGTTCTGTTTGTTTCAAGACAAATACTTTTAATGGGCTGAAACAATCAAACCAGTAACTAGACACACTTTCCTCTGCCACAAAGCTATTCCTTCCTCCCCTCCCCCCATCCTTAAGTTGCAGATGCACAAGAGCTGTTTCCATACTGCTATATCCTTGTTTTCGCGACCCAGATCCTTTTCTAGCCTTATGCCATTGATTTCCTGATGCAACCTGCTAATGAATCTAGACCCCAGCTCCAGAGGGAGTATCCCAATAGGCTGTTATAAACTTTTGTTTTAACAAAGGTCTTGTCTTCAATCTCTTGCTCCCTATGTAAACAACTCAGGCAATCTTGATTTTTATGTGCATGCACCCTGGGACGACATGGCATGTTTGCCCCATGGGTAGCCTTAGTGCTATTCACTTTGCATATAAGAAGTATTAACGCTTTTTTTGCAGTGATTAATTTGTATTGTTTTTACCTTTAGATGGTGGAAGTGTTAACACCTAATGCTAGAAGCTCCTGGGAGGAGTGGCCTAGGAGTGTAGGGATAAGTAGAATGGCGTGGGAAATAGATCAGTCATCAAGAAAGGAGGAGGGAAGACCTAACGCAACTACAAAGGTAGGGTGGATATCCTGTCACAGCACCTCTAGCAAATTCAGGCGTCAAGAAGTGGAGGGGGCAGTAAGGGACCCAGATCACAAGCTAAAAGGGAGGCAAGACCCTACTTATCACTTGATCCCTATTTTTGTCACTTACAAAAATCATTGTTCCACTTAGGAACATGTGTAGAACTAAAGCTGGATATTGATGTCATTTATAAGAATAATTGTTCAGTCTCATTTTTCACCCACCATTCTAATAATGCATGAGTCCCAGTGGCATGCTATATAAAATGACTGTGTAGGAGCTTGAACTGTCTTGGCCTGGAGTTAGATAAGGGATCAGACAGTTTTTACATGTCTGAGTCAAAATCCACTGACCTTATTCACTTATTTCAGTTATGCCTCTACTAGTATGCTCAAATACACTACAGATAAATCTATGACTCCTGCTGAAATTGTCTTGTCCAGTAACTCTATAAACTTTTGTAGTCCTCCAAAGATGCCAATTGTTTAGTCGTGTCTTGAACCGCTTTATATAAATGAAGAAAATTCTGCAACCTGTAAACATTTTGGGAAATGAGTTGTTTTGGAGTTTTGCTTTTACTATTGGGATAAATCTTGCTTAAATCCCATAGTATGTTATCTACGTATATAGATAGAACATGTGTATATAGAGATCTTAAAGACAACTGAGTTCATTAATTTAAATATCTCCTGTAAAGCGACTCTAGTGATCTTGTTCTTAGTCTTTTTCCCTTTCATATGTCCCAAGAGTTTTATTTCCATTTTCTTTACTTGCCACACACAGCATTTGTATGTACATTAAAATATACAAAATTTTCCAGGGGTATCTGCATACACCAGATCAGTGGTTCTCAAACTTTTTTTTTTTTTTTCACGGAAGACTTGAAAATTGCTGAGGGTCTCAGCAGACCACTTAATGATCTTTCCAAATGTTGTTTGTACAGTTAAACTATTGTAAAGTACTTTGGAGAAAAGTACTATATTAAAAAAAATTAATAAACAACTTTTTTCTACAAATAAAAGTGCACAACTCATATTTTAATATCAGTAGTCTTACCTTTCTAATGCAATGGATGTGCCCTCTCTCCCCTGCCGCAGCAGCCCCTGAGCTGGGGCTGGGAAGGAGGGGCATTTCTCCCCTGCCATAGCAGCCACAATGTTGGGGCTGGGAAGGAGTTGGGTCTCTCCCCTGTCATGGCAGCCACAGAGCTGAATCTGGGAAGGAGTTGGGTCTCTCCCCGGCAGCTGCAGCCCTGGAGCTGGGAAAAGTCGTCTTTCTCTGGACCCTGCATGTCTCAAATTCCTCCGACCCCCTCTTCTCACCCCACTGCCACCTCCCCCCTATTCCCTCCCAAGGCCACCACCTCACCTTACGTGTGCATCTTCTCCAGGGTCCAGGCACCTAATTAGTGGAGCCATGCCTGTGTGGCTCCACTAATTAGGTGGGTGGCCCTTCATTCTCTCGTGTATAGCCACCTAGGCACACACTTTAGAGGGAACTATCCGCGGACCACCTGAATGGAGCTCGCGGACCACTGGTGGTCCACGGACCACAGTTTGAGAACCTCTGGACTAGATAATTCTATTTTGCAGTCATATTTTCACAACTATCAATTGTCGTCTTCCAAAAAGTTTTCAAAGTGTATTATGTATTTTTAATTCCATATTTTTAGTGTACAATGCATTGTCTTGAAACTGATTCCTGATGTTGTCTTTGGATTAGTACTCAGTTTTTATTGCCTGTACTAGAGGGAAGCAATAGTTTGAGTTTTGATTCAGCTTATGCTCATACGTTTTGATATTCAGTCTCCTTAGCCTTTTCAGTGCATACTGTCTGCTCTAGCAAACATTGCTGAGTAAATTCATCTTAGCGTAGAGTGGGAAGAGAATATCTCCAAGTAGTGCGTTATGAACGCCTACAACTAAGGCATGATTGCAAGCACAAGACCTACAACTAGAGTTGGCGCCCTAAACAGCATTGTCCTCAGTCCTAAAACACAAAGGTATCGTGATCAATACTTATCATGGCTATAGCTCTTCAAAGTGCTCTACAAAGGTGGGTAAGTTGAAGGGAGAAGATGCTGCTGCGATCGTGTCATCCCAGAGAGGGCCTTAAGCTTTATTTTAATGCATCGATTCATGACAAGGAAGTACAGACTGAGAATTAATCAGAAATTGAGTGTCTGCAGAGCAAGTGGCAAATGATCCACATTTAAATCTAGGTCAGAACTCCTGGGGAAACCATTAACTTTCATCACAGGGAGACCACCCATATACTTGTAGAAGTTACTTACATTTTGGTATAATTTTCACAACCCCATTATTATGGGTGGTACGGGAAGTTTTGTTTCATAAGTAATTCCAAAGCAGTGTGGGATTGGAAAATAAATGTATAAGATTAAGGTAATTTTTAGTTTGTGCCTTACTCTGCTGTTAAAAACTAGAGGCCATCCAAACCTAAAAGCACTGGTCTCAGTCTTCTCTTATCTTTGAGAAGGATTTATTTAACATCCTTGTTACTGCATTGTACATTCCACAAACTGGAATATCATCAAAGGAAGAATCTCATCGCACATTAGAGACAATTAATCTGTGCTAATTCTATTACTGTTGCAGGCTTCACTAAGAAACAATGAGCCTTAGGAAATATTTAAACCATTTCTCCATTGAAGTTCTAGCCACAGTAGGAGTCCTTGGAACAATATCATGCCCGAGACTGACAAAGCTAGCAGAAATAACAAAGCAACTACCCATGTGAATGTATCTAGAGGTAAACTAGTCTTTAGCACCAGAGATGAACCTGGAGTGTAAAAGTAAATCCAGAGTGCAATTGATAGCATAACTTGCTAATTATGAGACATTGAAATTGAACAGTAACTGCTTTTCTATTTAGAAAGAGGAAAGAAATGCTTGAAATGCTACTGTCTTGCAGCACATGGTTATGACCAGTAGCAACAGATGCTCTTAAACCACACTTTGGTCTTGTAGTAGTATTGTGGTCCTGTGGATTTTTAACACCAGATGGGTCCATTGTTGTCTAGTTTGACCTGCATAACCCAAAATTTGTAATATAGACTGTGATCCTCAAATCATAACAGTCCACAAAATCGCTAAGCTATAGGATGTTTCCAGAGTATAGATTGGTCCTATACAAGCCCAAACTGTTACAACCTGTTCAGGAGCTACCATGTCATCCAGGTCTACTAATGCTGCAGCTTTTCATAGTATTGTATAATATGCTCTTAAAAATCAGAGGCCATTTTCACAAAGAAAGAGACCCTTTCCTGGCGTAAAGATATAAAATAGAAATAGTGGTAGC